GAACTGCTAGCTGCGGCCAATAGCTAATAATAACATGCTAAAATTAATCATGGGTTAATACTCATTAAAACCTTAAAGTAATCAAAAAGTAATCAAAAGTAATTAGTTACATTACTTTTTAAAAGTAATCAAAAAAGTTACACTACAATTACATTTTAAACAAGGTAACTTGTAACTGTAACGGATTACATTTTTAAAGTAACTTACCCAACACTGGCCGTAATCTGAGGGCCCGGCGCTAATGCAGGGTGGCAGCTCGGCATATGAGGCGTCCTCAGAGGCTGAAGGGACAGAGAGTTTTTACAGCCTGAACTGGTGTGACCTTACTGGTGAACCTCTTACACAGCAGTCCAACTTACCTTAACTTCACCTCAACTCGCTTCTTTGAATTTGAAAGCTCTCTATTTAAATTTGATTCACGCTTTGGCATAACAAAAAAACAATCAGCTTGGAAATAGTGACAAGTAGTACAATGCAGATATCATCCACGTGACCCTCTGTTCGATCTAAAGGATTTTTTCTAAAACATACTCTGGTCCCTAAAAAGTCTTAAAATACACAAAAAAAGAGCAACACATGTAAACATTGTGCAGAGTTGTTATTTCATGCAGAAGCAATGTAGAACCACCTTTGGTGGAGACAAAAGGCTTTCTTCTGCAACCTTTCCAAACAAACCACCATATTTTTTTTACATTAAAATTACATATACATGTAAATTATGTTAGCTTTTTATGTGTATTTTTACCTGCACTTTGGCAACTTTGGTTATTTTAAATGTGCTCTATAAATAAAGTTTGACTTGACTTGACTTGACATTTTGTGCAAACTTTTTTCAAATTGTACTCTCATGAATTCAAGCTTTTAACATAGAATAGACTGTAAATAGTTTAGAAATCCCTTTGTTATCCTTTCCAGACTGATGGGCAGCAAAACCATTTTCTTACTGATGCTTTCCCTCCTGTGCAAACACACAGCTGAATACTCCAGACCTGCAAGTTGTCGCAGGCCACAGGTTTTGAGCCACTTCCTGTTTTATTTAGCTGGACTTTTCCCTTTTTTTATTTTCAACTTGATCTCCTTTCACTTGTACACTTGTAACACCTTTATAAAGTTTATGATTCGTCAATTAGGTCCATTTTATTGGCAGCTCCTGGCTCTGCTATCAACATAATAATTTCAGTCGAAGTAGCCAGAGTGGATTTCTACATTTGTTTTTGTGAAATAAATAATGACTCATTGTAGCATATCATATGTTGTTTTCCTTCTGGTTGTATTTAACCAATGTTAGGACCCATTTAGGACTACACTGGCCTCTGTTTTATGGTAAACGATCAAATGAGACAGCACTTACTTGTGGGATCGATGCCTCATTAGATATTCTTCAACATAAGCAAAATGCATGCAAACAGCTCTATTTCACGTAATGAGCCGCAACCTGAGCCTTGTCCTGGCCTGAGAGCACACAGAGGAGGATGTGGTTATTAATACACACAGCAGCAGGCATAATGTGGGTCAAACGTGCCGGTTGCCACGTGAGCGAGGCAGAGCAAAACCCCAGCATCCTCCCGGCCCGACAGCCAGGGGATGCTGGGGCACGTTTCAGTCTGAAAAAGGGCCCGAGGTGCGTCTCCAGGTGATGCGCGTCCCCAGCATAACCGAGCTGCAGAGCCACCCAGGAACAGAGCGCGCACTTCGTGTGGCCATGGCAACGGCGCTACCTATGAGCATTAGTTTAGAGTTACACTCAGTCGAGTGGCTGCATCCAGTGCAAGGTCAGGAATGTGGAGATTTGCAGGCCGGATCGCAGTTTGAGCGTTAAGAAAAAGTCCCTGTCCTCGTTTAAAATGCATTTCTGCACTGCTGTACTCTCGTGCCCCTGCATGTTCTGATTTTATTTCAGTCTCAGTCTGACTCTAAGAATATTTTCTGTTAGTGCTGAAATTTGGGTTTATCGAACAGGTAAAAAAGCTGGTAGAAAACATGCAGAAGGACAAGTGAGGATACTTCTCTGTTTACTTTCCATGGATCTGTTTGAACATCCAAAGTTGTTAACTTTTCTTTATGTTTTATTTACTAAGTTATATGAGTAGTAATTAAATATCTGAGTAGATAAAGATAGACAAAGATAATAGAAAAGATAATTGGATCAGGTCGTCAAACCTGACAAATTAGCAGTAGGTGTATTTTCATAAAAGGCAGCCCTTTTTCTCTATATTATTCCGCAAATAAAGATTCTTTGTTGATGTATCTGATCAATCAGAGCTCTGTTAACATTGCAAATGGTAGAAAATTGCTCCGAATTTTGATGAAAGCCCATATGCAGCCCCCAGCAGATTGACTCTGATTGGAGATCCTGAAATTACATCCAGACCTGGTCAAATAGTTGCTTTAATGAAGGGCAGCTAATGGAGCAGAGAGCTATGCATGCCATGTATCCCTGAGTCTCACTGGCCTTCAGAGACTCTCCCAATCCCTCAGCTTGATGTTTCTTGTGATCAGTCCTAGCTGTTATTCCAGCAGCTGATCAGGATGTTTTCCTTTGATTTTCGCCAATAAGACGGAGCTTTACCAGCAGCTGAAACATCTTTTCCCAGCTCAGTTCCCCAACAATCCTTGTGTGTTTTGAAGAAGCGTAATTCTGCACTCTTTGATTAAGAGCTGCATTACTCAAGTTGTTTCATCCCCCCTTCTCCAGATGGCAGCTATTTGAGTCGCCATGCAAAGTTCTGATCAGTACAAACCAGCAAAAAGAAGGAAAATACATATAGTGCTTTACTCTGCAAAGAATACAAAGAAACTTTGGATTTTATCTCGAGAACACTGCTCGGATAAGCCGAAGTGACCCATCGCAGAATGACCGTTAGCTGAGAAACTATGTGGAAGCCTGCATGCCTTCAGATAATTTGTTACCATTTTTGCATGCTGTTGCTTCTTGAGGAGCCGGCAGGCGACAGAGCCACCATCGTCTCAGTGCGGTCACCACCGAAAAAAAAAAACACAAAGAGGCCCATTCACCGGCCTCTGAAGCCAAGTCACACACTCACAGTCAAGAGGACACCCAGGCCCATCCAGCACACAGCCTGGAGTCATTACAGAAACCAGTGTGTACTTACGCAGCCGTAAAACATTCACAGAGAAACACTGAACAGTAAAATAAAGGGGCAGAGAGGAAGAACAGAGCAATGAATTCTGGGAATCATTACAGCTGTGCAGTTTCCACTCCTGCTGTCTGGTTTATGGTGAATTAGCTTTGTTAAACACACAAAGGAATAGTTCCCACAGCTCACAGCTGTCTGATTTTTTTTTTTTTTGTTTGTTTCATCCATCCTTGTTCACAGTTCCACATACTATGTATCAGCTTATTCTGGTGCCAGGGGCTTCTCTGGACCGGTCTGTCAAAAATGGAGCGACTGAAGAAATCAAAGGCAGACGGTGAGGCCCCGATGCCTGTGAAGTGTGTGGGAAAAAAAACACCGGACACAATACAGAAAACTGGTTCTTTCATCTCAGAGCAGTCATGCCTTTTAGACCGTGGAGAGAAATCACCTTCACTAATGTGGCACCTCGCTTAGCGGCTTCATTCTTAGAGATGCAACACCCCTTCGGATTGTGCAGAATCCTGAAACTGGTCAGGTGATTGAACTCGATTTTACAAGAGGACGAACTCACTCTAACAGCCTTCTTGAAGAAGTTACCAATTTCTTTTAGAATGCAGTTTCCATAAAACCTGTGTCTACAGGTTAAAAAGCTAGTTTGGAAATAAAAGAGGCAAAAGACTAAGAGGTGAGTGAGATTTTTCTACACCGAGTTCCCCAGACTCTTCATCATTAAAAAATCATGAGACAGGCCTAACGTAGGCTGTACAAAGTGTTAAATGGTCAACATATGTGCAAAAATGGTCCTTATGGGCCCAGTTTATGCGACCATAGTCACCATAAGAGAGCACAGTCACTCAAGGCCACATGTGGCCAAACAGAAATTCAGATGTGGGCTTGTTTGGGCCAAACAGACTTTGCTATCAGGGCTGTGTGTAATGACGACACCAGCTTTTGAAAGTACCGAGGGCACGAGGAGAATAAAAAGATCCAGCTGATACGCATATTCTCCAGTCCTGTTTGACGTGCCTCGCTTCATTAATTCTGATGTGATGAGCTCCATCTGGATCAGATTTTTAAAGCTCCAAGAGTTTATTTCCCAGGGAGATTTGATTTATTCAGCGTGGACGCCAATATCACCAATCGTTTACCTGCTGTAAAACATGCCGGTTCTTTTCCGGTAAATCATAATCGCGGATCCGTTTGGGTTTGCTGTGACTGTGATGAAGTGTGACACCATCGATACGTCCTGCGGCAGAACAGTAAACACGAAGGCTGCTCGCTCTGCCTGCAACCCTACACCGGAGCTGCCAAGGCAGCGAGGCCGGGCCGATTGATTTTAGCCATGAAATATTTATGCGAAGATGTTTTGAAACACTTTGCATTTATTAAAAGTCACTCACTCTAAATAATGGATGGCGTAAGGTGACACTGGTGTTGGCTCAGTCGCACAGTGGGAGGGAAGGTGTGCTGAAACCTTTAGATCATCTCATACCTGGCTCTTATAATGTGTGTTTTCTCACCTAAAAAGATCAGCATTCAAAGGCAGTTACAGTCACAGCAGACGGAGGCAAAGGACTTTGACGATCCAGCAAATTCTGACTGAAAAGAAAGAAAAGATACCGTAACTCAGAGATGTATTGCATTCTGTTTTACAGCATGATTAAGAAATCACTTACTTTGGTGTTTCTTAATAAGGGTATACCACTAACCTTGTTGTGTCAAGTGAATTCTTAGCTGCTATGTTCCGTTTATTGGCCAACACTGCCCCCTGTTGACCACTGATGAGGTCATAATCATGACTTGCACAGGAGGTAGAAAAAATCCAATTATTTATTGGAGTTATTTTACAAAACAAAAGTCAGTAGAGAACACTTGGTGGTGATATGCAACGACAGAGACGGTGAAACCGTGAAATACAGCAGCTTTTGTCACAGTTTTCTTAGAAAAATGGCACGAGTTCAGCCTAAATCTGCAGAAGCATTTTGAACACTGGAGAAGCTCGACGTGTTTGAAACATCATCTCATGTGGTTCCAACACCTTTCTTGTTTTCCATGATGGAAAAGTAAAAAAAAAAAAAAAAGCTTTATTTTTGGATTATCAGTGTGATTAGCTACAGTTGAGCATGTTATTTCAAACCTGTCGTACTTGTCTTTATCTCAGTTTGAATAGCTTTTTTCTACATTCAGCTTATTTGCTTTGGGTCTTCACTGGCCTTCAACTGTTGAACGTGGAGGCGTTTGGGCAGACGTCTGCTCGACAGACAAAAAAGTTCTGTTCTCTCACGCTCCCTCGGGACGGTTTCACTTGTTCTTTCTTGTTTTTGTCACTTTCTCTGCCTTCTCTTCCTTCTTTTTCCCGTCTTCCTTGCTCGCTGCTGCGGCATCTCCCAGCGCGTCCTCCTCCTCCTCCTCATTTTCCGATTTAGCCGGGACCTTCCTCAGCTTGTGCTTGCCTTTGGTGGGGGCTGAAAACGTCAGCGAGGACTTGATGAACTCCAGGGGGAAGATCCCCACGTCTCCGTCGAAGCGGTTCTTGGTGACCTGCAGGGATCGGCGGCCCGGGCACGTCACCAGCTTCTTCTCCTGAAGGATGAGGACATTGTCTGCCTCTTGGCTGGCCTGGAAGGGGTTAAGCCACGCGTTAGCTACGCCAGACACTGTGACGGCTCATTTAAAACTCTACATAATTAATCGAACGGCTCAAGCAAAAAATAGAATTTCTATTCTTCGATCTTGACTTAATTGTAGGGCAGCGGCTTTACTTTAGCAGATCCAAAGATGGATGCTGTCTGCAGTTCTTTGTCATCCTCCTCTTTCCTCGGGTGGATAATTAGAGTGACGTGGCAGCTGCTGTTGGTGGCAAACTTCCTAAAAACCCCAATTATGTGGTCCTGGACGGCAAATCTGCAACACATAATGAAATTACTCCCAGGTGTTCATTTAGAAATATAGAAATCTTTGTCATAACTGATAGTTTCTTTACTCACTTGTCGACTGAGAGGTTTTCTTGCCCCATCATGAACTGCAGGTTATCGATGATGACATGGTTGATGTCATAGAGGTACACAGCATGCTGCATGGTGTCCAGCACTGTCCTGGAGATGGGGTTCAGCACAAGGGTCAGGAGGTATGTTCATTTGCACAACTGTGTTTCACAGAGACGGAGAGGAATAATTCATGTTCGTATGATTGTCTATTTGGCATAGAAATACGGGTTTGCCTCAAATCTCCCAGCCTTAATTTGCAAAAAAAGCTCGGATCATTGCAAATCTGTTTAAAGCTCCAGAAGCTCTGATCCAACTCACTTGATATTCTGCTGCCCGTGGAAAGTCATGAAGTAGAGTGGAAGCTCCTCAAACTTGTCCGCCCAGAAGTCGTACTGCTCCAGGTTCTCCTCCAGCCTCTGCATGGCAAACTGCGTGAGCATGATCTTAGCCAGACGCACGTTGTTGATCTCAAAGCTGCCCCACAGTGTGTTGACGCCTTGCATGGAAAGGTCCAGGGCCAGCTCACTGATGAAGGTGGTCTTTCCACTCCCGGTGGGGCCTGGAAGAGAAAGATAATAAATTGATGACAGAACAGATGTTCAAACTCTGTTAGTTCTGCAGCCTCCTTCGTCTGAGTCGGTTTAATTGGACTGGACATTGGACTTTCTAATCTCAGATTATAGAGCATCAATTACATGTAGAATTTTTTTTTATTAGCTTTCTTTCCTTCCTTTCCAAGCTGCATCTTTAATTTATTCGTATGGTTGCAGGGATGATCTGTACCTGTAAAAACTGTGAGTTCCCCTTTTCGATGCCCCTTCAAGATCCTGTTGAGCTCCGGAAACCTCTTCCACTTAACTCCGGCCACCTGGTCTGTGTTGACCAGCTCGCCGTACACATCCTCTCTGAGCTGCTTGAAGGAAACGATTGACTTGTGGGCGGCCGGGATGGAGGCCTTGATGATGCGCCCTAAGTTCTTGCCCTGGGCCAGAGCCTCGACGGGGCAGGGCTGGTACTCCCCCGGCCGGACCAGCGTGCACCGCCTCAGACCCAGTTTGCGGGAAAATATCTTCGAGGCCTCCCAGGAGCGGACGTCCCCTCCCAGCCACAGCGTCACCCGCTTGAACTGCTCCAGGTACGGCAGCAGGACCGGAGGAAGGCAGCTGACCCCTCGAGGCAGAGCCACGCTGGGGAGTCCGGTGGCCTGGCTCACGGCCAGAGTGTCCAGCTCGTGACCGGTCACCACCACCTCGTGGTCCATGCGATTCACAAGAGAGAGGCCGAACAGATTGTAATAGGAGCTGGACTTTGGGACCGTAGCCTCGTTGTAGGCGACGGCGTCGCTGCTGGTCATTTGGGCGGAGAGGAGCTTGATGCCCTTTAAGGAGGAGTCGGGCCCACCGAACCAGGGGAAAACCAGACTTTTGGTAGGCTTAAAAAGCCTCACACCAAACTTTTTGAGAGTGGCAGTTGAGATCTTTGTGATCTGAAACACAAGTTGATGTAAATCATTATCAAATTGTGAGTTGAATACTAGAGTAGTCGAGTTAGACAGGCGTCATGTCAAAGAATGAGTCAACAGATCATCCTCGATCAGACTTTTATATATAGCTCCAACACAACACAAAATCTTTTTAAACCGTACCTGGAACATGGTTTTGATCAGCTGAACTTCATCGTCGGGGAGATCCGGGAAGGGGACGGAGCTGGACCAGATCCCCTGCACCTCCCTCAGCTCCCTGTCCCTCTGCTCCTGCTCCTCCAGGCTCTCTGGGTAGTCCTGCAGCACGCGGGGGCTGAGGAAGTCCTGCTCGTCCTTCTGCATCACCTCCAGGCAGTCCTGGAGGTCCTCCCAGCTCCCCTCCACCAGCGTGTCTTTACACAGGAACTGTCCGGTGGTTTTGTCGATGAACAACGAGTAGCTGTCCTTCCTCGGAGACGGATCGACGAAGATGCTTGGGATGTGGAGGCAACTGTAGCCATCGTGGAAGGGAATGTCTTTGGAGCGAAGATACTGTTTGATGTCGGTCACTGTGACGGGGCTTAAAGGGAACTCTATCGTAGGCTTGGCGTCCTTTTTGTAATCCCTCACTCCTTTATGTGTCAGGAAGAAGGCTGGGCCCTGATGTCTCTGAAACCAGGGAGCCCCACCAGGCCTGTGATGGAGCCTCTGAGTGAGGGCTCTCAAACAGATGGATGAAAAGGGTCTTTGATGGAGAAACTTCGGGGCTGCCGCCTGCATCAAACAGGCGGAGCCCCTCAGTAGCAAGTTTCTCCACATTGGCTGTCTTGTTAGTGCATTGAGCCTGCAAACCACATGAAATGTCATCAAGGACTAAGAATTTGGGGATATTTTCTTATTTCAAATGGACAAAGTAATCGCATAAGCACGCAGATGCAGGCACATTAAAGCCTTAATAAGAATGAAAATAATCTAATAAAATCACAAAGAAGTAAAAGCAATCTTTACCTTTAGTCCGATCTGACCTAGTTTTCCTCCATGCTCCGAAGGAACCCGGGCTTTATGGTGCGCCTTCAAAACAAGTCCGTGCGAAACTTTTTTCAATAGATGACAAATTTGAATCTAGTGCATGTAACTCATAGATCTGGCAAACTATTATTCTATACCTTTGACAATTATTTGTAATTCAAAACAACATTTACCAATTATTGATAACATTCCCCCTTTTTATTTAACTTTGAAATACGGTGTTTCTGAACTGTTTCACCTCGGACCCTGTTAGCGACGGACTGCACTGCAAAGCATGTCCGTCAAGACGTCCTCTAATTGTTTTTGTCGCCATTTAAGGACTTTATTTAGTTTATAATTGAGTAGTTGGCTTTGGGTTTTAGTTGTTAGGTAGCTGGGCCGTTAGCTAACGGTGGAACAATGACGTCCAGAGGGACGCCGAGCCGCTTCCTGAAAAGCGTCCTTCAGAATGGCGTCGGCCGATATGTCTGCCAGCTGAAACGAGTCTCCCTCATCTTCTCCAAGAAAGGCCAGGGTTCGTTAGGAGTCAGGTATTGAGTGGTAATCTGCTTTCAGTCACATAGCAGCATTATTATTTTTAACGGTAGTCAATTGTTAAAATGATCATTTGATTTTCTAATGAGCAGTGCAAATACCCATCTGTCAATTTGTTCTAATTTTTACATTCATGCATTCAGACGATCTTTTGATATGTTCAAGGAATCTTGAGAATAGTTCCTGAAGCTTTCTGAAAATCTTTATTTTAAAAATGTGTATTATCTGGACAGCTATTCCTGAAGACTCCTTAAAAATGGGCATAAAGATGGTTGAAAAGGGTTCAGACTGTCAGAGATTAAAGGGTGTGATATCAAATTCTGAATTTCAAGATTGGAAAAACTCTGTAACCGTAACTACACTATTACTACTACACCACTACACCCAAAAAATCTGCATTTAGTCTTTCCCAATTTTGTCAAAAACCCTTGTTTCAAACCCTTGTATGACGACCCTGAACATCAATCTACTGCCTTCTTCTTTTGCAGGGATTTTATTGAGGAGGGAGTTGTGGATTACGCCAAAAAGAACCCTGCGACGGTGGTGTACGTTTCCCCTCAGTCCTGCAGAGTTCCTAAGATAGTTGCAGAATACTGTGAGTCCCCTCAGATTTGTTTCACCTGATGAAATCTGAATGTCTTTCTTTGCAAAACTTTACCCCACAGAATTCATAGTGACTCATGAATGACATTGGGATACCTGCTGTGGATAATCACGTATCAAATGATAATCAGAAAGGAATTGGAGATTATGCAAGATGTGCTGACTTCCTAAAGTGGATTATTGAATGATTATGATGTAATTGCTTCTAAAGGGAGACTTTTATCTTTATTGTGTTAAAATGGTCACAATCGGTTAAAACTGTGGCTTTAGAGATGTAGATTAGATAGTGGGTATTTATAATTCTTTTTGGGGGATGCAGCTCTCTTTAGATACCGCAGAGGGCAGTATGACAGCTGTTTTTGTGAGACCCAAAGGAGCCTGAGCTCCAGATATCATTAAAAAACATTCACCAGAGTCACATGTCCACGCCTGCCCTCTTCAAACCAGCTCTGAGTGTTTTGTTTTTTTTCTTCCCCTTTTTACAGTAAATGGCAATGTGAGGGAGGAACTAGTCACGAGCAAAACGTCACAGCAGATTTCTGACATCTTGACCAAGCTGACCAACCAGTCAGGCCTGGAGATCATCCGCATCCGCAAGCCCTTCCACACAGACAGCCCCAGCATCCAGGGCCAGTGGCACCCGTTCACCAACCGGCCCCCGTCCATCGGCCCCATCAGACCACAGACCAAAAGCTCTGAATGAAGACTGATCAATAATACAGCCAGTGCCTGGATGTTCCCAGAAAATGATAGATGAGACCTCAAGTCTTTTTCTGTCCTCTTCTCATTTCGTGAAAAGCCTGCAGTTGGGGTGTTTCTATGTGTGCAACACTGAATATCACCTTTGGATTGGCTTAACCTGAATCCTCCAGAAGTTTATCGCCTGCTATTGCTGAGACGCAGAAAGCTGGTTGTAACTATCATTTGAAGATTTGTGTTCAATTCCAACAAACTTGAGCTAGTGTTTTTTTTTTTTTTATAAAATTAAAGCAAACTTATGTAAATCCTTGTGTTTGTCAGTGTTTACTTTTGTGTCCAGATGTGTCTCAGCAGCCTGGATCCATGAGTTAATTTAACTGAAGGTAAAATAATCGGGAAATTAAAAAAAAGTTCACATGTTGCAATTTCTTTTTCTTTTTTCTATTTTTATTCACTTGGCACATGGAGAAATGTACATGTTTCACAGTTCAATACTGATAAAGTTCAAGGGTGTCCTTGCTGCACATGCTTTAAATGATCCAGAGCATGAGCGAACACGACAGATGGACGCGCGATGGCTCGAGGGACAAAGGCTTTTTGACTTCAGCGTGAGCCGTCCTCTGTGTGGTCCCGCAACAGGAGCAGGGAACCTGCTCCGTTCCAGCGGGTGATTCGCTCAAATTCAACCAGGCAGCAGATGGCAAAACCACTGCGGCTTTCTCTGCAGTTTCCGAGCTGAATTCATCATCTGTGACTGCAAAAGGCGTGCAGCGTCAACCTCAGTGTTCCCAACAATAATACAAAGAAATACAACCAAGAGGTGCCAGGAAAAAAGACAGAAGGGAGATGATGGATTACGGGTGTCTGAAAACCGATATATTCATAGTCTGCTGGCAACATACTGAAAACACCATTTGTGAAAAATGTTTGTGGGAAGGAGTGACATGATGGCACGTGAGCAGGATATAGCTATATCACAGCAAAATACAGTAAAATCAAACCTGATTCAGGAGGGATAATGTAAATGCTTTAGGCAGTTCTGCCCTTCCATTAAATATTCCTTTTAAAAATATGCTGAACAGTTAAGAACTAGCAAAAAAAAAAAAAAAAGAAAGCAGATAGGTAATAAGTCCGTTCTTTCTTTCTCACCTCGTGCATTTTAATTTATCTGAGGCACCAATTAAAGATATCACATCCACTGTGCTCTCATCACACCGTTTCCCCCCAAGGGGAGCTGGCACAGCTTGACCCAAGCAAGGACATTAAAGGTTCTAAATAAAGTTGCAGTTGCTTAGTTACCGCCTTGAATGCTGCTCTGAAAATGGTAATTTTACCCCTACTTCCTCCCCTAGTTTATGTTATACCTCTGCCCCATCCCATGTATGTAAATGACTCTGTTATTGTGTGCGGTTTATTCTCCGTGGAGGATGGAGGCCTCTGCTGAAGCAGGAAAAACAATCAGGCATTGAGGTGTCTTGAGAACGGGATTTAGTTTGAACATGCCCGACATGTTATATCACCTTCTCCTCCCTTGGTCGTCGACGTCGATTTTCCCTTTTTCCTCAAGATGAACGTACAGTGCAACAACTTCTTAACAGATAAGTGACAAAAAAAAGTTTAACAAGCTTAAATAAGATGCGAGACTCATCAGTCTAAATCAAAACGGCTCTTCCTACAAAAAATATCTGAGAAAAAATGTCAGAGAAGAAAACACAGTTTAGCCTGTAATCCAGATTTTTTTTTAAAAGAAGACGAGAAACATGTTTCAAAGTTTACAGAAGGGCTACTACATGACCTTTAACAGATAGTGCTGCAGAACATGAGAAAGGGAAACGAAGATTGTGCTTTGGCTGACAAATAATGGACAGTGTGCACTTACATAATACGTCCACGTACAGCAAGGAGAAAAGTGGGTTTGTGTACACTTGATTCTATATTACCTGAAGCACACAGTACACTATACAGTGTCTAATTTAAAAAGTCTCTGAGAGCAGCAGCAGTGGTCAGAGATTCAAATGAAGCTTCCCGTATGCTCAGCAGCGTGCATGACGTGGTTATAAGAGAAGCAGACTGCAGGAAATCAGATGCAAAACACATGATTAAATACAGCATCACGCTGAGCACAACAGAAAACATTTTACAAGCTGTGCCACAAAAAAAGCAAACCAACAACTTTTTTACACAACTCCGATTTAAATAAAACGCTCCCACAAAGTGCACCTATAGTATAAATATATAGCATTAACGTACAAATATAAAAAATACCTTTTTCTTTGTCCTCTCATACCTCCATTTTTTTTTTTACCACCAAACCACAAGTTAGAGCGCTCTTTATAAAAAGTCTCTAATGGATAAGCAGCCATTTACAAACTCAGCAGAGTCCTTGAGACTGTGTGAACGTGAATGGAGGGAGTAATAGATGAGACTGTAATGGAGGGGTGGGAAAGCTAGAAAAGGAGCAGAGAGGGATAGAAAGGAGGGAACAACATGAGGAGAAACAAGACTGAAAGGACTGATAACAAGCTGACAACTGCAAAGGAGCTTTCTCAGCATGCTGAGCTGAATGGTCATGTGCTTGGTAGCCACAGGTCAGGTTGAATGACCAGGCAGGCTTGAACTCCGGGGAAATCCTGACCGCTCCCACAGCGGAGCAAATACACCCATTTCACCTGAGAAAGTCTCAAACTTTGAAAGGTTTTTCGTAAAGATGGCCAGGGGACACAACACACTTACAGTTTTTCATCATTTTCAGCGAAATAAGATGAAAAAAAAAGGCTTTCACACAGATTAAGGGGGATGTGAAAATGCAAAAGTTTAGGCATTCCTAAGAAAAACAGATTTCCTAAATAACTATGAGCAATTTAATATAATGAAAACAAACTATGCACACAAATAAGCTACGAGAAAGGTGGCTTTATCCTTAGTTTTTCATTTATTGTGTACAATAGTGAGAGTTTGAAGTTCCAATAATCGTCCCAGATGGAGCTGCTGGGAGGGTTCCCAGAAACTTAAATCAACCCCCTCTTTATACACAATTATGGCAGCCACAGAAAGCCATTAGACCAAAAGCCTTCCCGACACATTCAGCATCAGAGTGCCACAAATTAAACATTTAAACTAGAAGGTTTTTCTCTAAAAAATAATTAGCCAAAACACAAAAAGGTTAGACGAAATCTTTTATCTGTTGATCAGCTATTCTTTAACAACTAACAGTTTGATAGGAGATGCCCAAACTTTTGTATGCCACTTGAACAAGATTTCTTCTATAGAAAAAAAAATGCAAAGCTCTTAGAAATTTCTTGAAATCGCGTAGACTGAAGGTTTCCACTTTGAGAAAAAATATTCAAAGCTGCATCGCGTTTGGCTAAAGAAAGAGGGCGGGGCTTGGCATAATGTCACAGGGACATGGTCAGATAAAAAAAGATGCTGCATTTAGAATCACAAAGGTAGTTTTAAATGGGTTTAAACGTCCTGACAAGTCTATATGTGCTCATGGCAAAGTATTTGAATCAATTTTGAGCTTCAAAATGAATGAAATGGGAGCGCCACCTGGATAGCTAAGTGCTGCTTTCAAAAGCCCGGTGCGGTCAGAACACAAAGGTCAAATGTCCTGTGGCCTTTTTCTGTCCGCAGAGGCACCGGTGGCCGGCACGAACAGACCACCTGCCTCTGTCCTTTCCTCGAAGAGGCCGTCCAGCCTCTGCCGTTAATGTCAGCGAGGGCCTGACAGATGTGCGCCACCAGTCACCGGAGAGGGCCGCGGCCGCGGGAGCTGAGTCAGCACTCTGCCGGGGGAAGACGGATCTTTTGAAACCACTGCCAGTGACACGTTTACAAACTACTCACAGATTCATTTCAGTCACTTTCCCGTGAGTTATACGTGTGCTATTTAATCATAGAGCTGCTCCCCTTGCCAAGGAAATACTGCGATACTCAGCGGTTTTTGTTGTTTTGGCATTGCGCCGGCGTCAGGTAAACACTGAGGATGCTTTCACGGGTTAAGGTGTGTGAAGGTCCCCTCCACTCCGATGCGGCAACCTGCCGCCAGCAGCTTTGACACATTAGAGAACGAGCCTGTCGCGCTTTCAAAACGGAATAAAACCAGGATTTTGGTGAAAGCGGTGTCTTGGCAATTCAAGAGACGATAAAAAGCTTTGACATGAAATAACTATTTTGCAAAGCGGCAAACGAAGACATCTTTTTACTGCTCGTCTTTTGTGTATCTTGTGGTTCATTCGACGTGAGCGCACGCGTACTGCTCCTTTAACAGAGTGCACACAGCTTTATCTCTTTTTCTCACACAGATGCTAAAAACAGAAAGACCAAAGGAAAAAAGAAGCCTGCTGCAGGTGTTTCCACTGGCGCAACACGTTGCTACAACAGCTGCAACAGTGATGCAATTATTGCTATATACATGAGGGGTATCAAAAGAATTTAAATATATGTACCAAAACCCGAAGCAATGCTCCAACCCAAATCTCAGGATGACTTTGGCCGGGTGCCTACAAGAGTGGTTCGAAGCGTGACTCAAAGAAAACAAATCTGAAAATCTTAACCTTAAATACAAACCGCTCAACACACTCCTTCAGTCAGCCGTTTCAAGGGATCATTTTTTAAATGTCCTTCTAAGCTTTATTAGTCTCTCAATTTTCACTGGACTGGGCTTAAAACGGTCCTGGAGTCCCAACAACTATCGACAACTAAATGTCTTTCATTGAATGTTCATGGTAATCGATTCTAAAACATTTCAATTTCCTATCTATTAGATAAATATTCAAGTGTTTAAAAAAAACAGAGATATTTAATGCTGCTCTTTTGTAATAAGGCCGTTTAAAAATATAGCCCAATAAGACGTTCTGTTCTTAGTTTGGAGGGTTAGTGTACTAGGAGACAGAGTGGGCCGTTGATGAAGCCCTATTTAAGCCGGAACAGCCTCATTTACTGTTTGGACTTAAGAGCGAATTTGTAATCTGTTGTGTCAACCACAACTAGTTAAAAACCGCCGTCGGCCCATTAGAAGTGCTGGAAAACCAGTTCTGTCAACCAGTAAGACACATGTGGGAACATCCTCCTGCACGAGGCCAACTTCCAGTTCCGCCGTTTTAAATTCTTCTTGAAACATTTTCCCAGTTATATAAAAAAAAAAATAAATACTGCTTAACCTCTTCCCCTGATAACACTTCACATCTGACCACCCTCTTTAGTCAAACCCCCAGAGAGTCCGCACAGAGGCTCCAAAGTGTTATCTTTTAGTGACGTCTGTGGGGAAATATTCACAAATCCTCTTTAAAGATTTTTAGTGTGAAATCATGTGAAATCATGGGCGTCGTATTTGTCACGACAAGCTGGAGAGGCTGTGCGTTTCGGATCCAGTAAAAGACGCGATCCTGCAGATGCTTAGACACCGGGGAAAATGACATGTTCCTCCCCGAAAACGACGACGGGTCTCTGTGGGGTCACAGGCGGACTGCGGTCGATTTCCTAGATGGAGCTCTCGTCCGGCTGCAGGTCCAGCTGCGTGTGCTTCCTCTGCTCCAGGATCCTGTTGAGCTCCTCCGTGAAGGAGTGGTAGAGCGGGGACATGCCCTCGGGGTCGGCCTGCCGCAGCAGCATGTAGCTGTTCCCGTTCATCTTCCTCAGCACGCTGGGCAGCGTGGCCGACAGGCCGTTGGCGTAGTCCAGGTTCGGGAGCGGCGGGGGGCTGGGGAGGGGAGGGGCCGGCGGGGGCGTCTTGGCCGGGGACGTCTGACCCTCCCCGGGAATGATCTGGAGGAAGCTGTCGTCGAAGTCCCCGAACGTGGGCACGGAGATGGAGCGGCGGCCCTGCCGGCCGTTGCAGTGGCTGGAGATGGTTTTCAGCTCGAAGTGGGAGCTCCTCTTCCGCTCCGACCCCCCGAGAACGTGCAGCCCTTGGTGCGAGAACTTGGGGGCCTGGGCCCGCGGTCGCCGGGTGCAGAAGCTGACGTAGAGCAGGACCACGGTCAGCACCAGGCAGAGCCCGCCTAAGATGGCCACCAGCGAGATGTACACCACCTCCATGTGCCTGTAGCTCTGGAAGGCGGCTCCGGGGGGCAGCGGGGCGGGGGGCGAGGGCAGGGGCTGCTCGCTCGGGCTGCTGCTGGAAAAAACGGTCGGGCTGGACGCCTCCGTGGGCTGGGTCGCCGAGGTGGGCTCCACGGGGAAGTAGGGGTCGGCGTGGACCCTGACCGTGTAGAGGTAGACCAGGACGGAGACGGCGTTCTCCACGGCGAAGCAGCGGTACGCGCCGCTCTGCTGGCCGCGCGCCCCGATGATCAGCAGGCCGTCCGTGCCCACGCGGTAGCCCGAACTGAGGCCGTAGCCCTGGAGCTGCTTGCCGTTGAGCGTCCAGCGCGGGGTGGCCAGGTTGGAGCGCAGCTCGCACTGGAGGAGAACGTCGTCCCCGGACATGACCGAGCGCCTCCGGTGGACCACTGAGGAAAAAAGCAAGAGGACAGGAGACGTGAGGGAGCTTTAAAAGAAAGGGAGACGAGGAAACTGGAGGGGTGCGAACATGACAAAGATACAGCGGGACAGAGCGATGAATATCCAACAAGATGTCAGGTCACTAGGGTTACAAAGCAGCCCATGCTGCCGCAGCATCACTTTCCATCGCGTCTCATAAGCCTCTTTAAATGTTGCGAGCCCCGCAGTGCAGCAGCAGGACCGCCTGACCTCCAGCAAGAGAGGAGCTGATTAAAATGTGTAGACTGGGACATGGGGGGATGGGGAAGGAACATACACTTAATGAAATCCCTTAATAGATGCTACGTGGGTGAGTTTTTTAGAGAAAGAAGGGCATATGTTTGACTTTTTTAACCCCTTAATCTGAGATCGAGAGTCTTCAATACTCATCGAGAAGGAAAGGTCAGAGGTAAAAGTATTAATCTTTAAGTGTGAGGCAGATACTGTTGCATTATGGATTCTCAGTAAGTACACGTGTGTGCGCCGTGACACATACCGTTACCTGAATTCTCCTTGCATCCCCGGACTCCTCTCATGATGTCCTGGGTCAGGTTCGCCCTGAAATGAGGATTTTTGAAACATTTGCATTAAACCTTTAGATCCTGAAAGCCTCCACCGGAGCGACGGGCTCTTTAGAGGATGTAAATGTGAAGTTAAGCGGTCGTAACAGTGAGTTAATTATAGTAAAACGCACAAATGCCGTCTCTGGGCTAGAAGAAAACATATATTTCCACAGTTCAAACTTTAAAAAAAAAAACATTCACAGCTGTGCGAAAAATCACAACAAACTCTCGCGAAGAGCAACACAAATGCCTAATCTGAGCCATATGTCTCTTCAGCAATTAGTCACTTTTAATGATCATATCACAGAGGGAAACCACATTTTGCAAAGCAGGAGCTCGCGGCTGGTTTTTTGCAGAGAGAACAAGCACACCAGGACACTTTTCCACCCTTTTCACAGCAATTTAGTGGCTAGTGATAGCCTTCAATTCAAACATGTCTATACCAGACAACAGCCTTCGACCTCCCTTTAAAAGATACAGCACAGGGCGGTTATTCCATTTGGAAGTGAATGCTGGTTTTGTGCACTTTTGTGCATCAACATTCAGGTTTTATTTATTTTTCTTGATGTGATGCAGCCTCTGTGATGATTAGCCAAATCCACAGGAGGGGAATGATGTGTCTGCTGCCGTAACGGAGATTAAGATGTCTGCTGCTCACTCATGCAGTTTGAATGAAGGGAGACACAAACAGTCCCCAGTAAAGGAGGGAGCCAAACTACGCCTGTCTGCATGCACAGTATGTGTGTGTTTGCTTTGGGTTCTTCCTGTGTGTGTGTGTGTGCGCCTGAGTAAAACGGAAAATTTCAACCGGATCGTTCACAAGATTTATGTTTGTGATATTTAGAAAACGTTATACTACACAACAGATAATAACCAATTAATTGTATCTTATGATTATCTTATCAATTCTGGTTGATTTTCATTGGTAGAACACATTCACAGAAAACTGGAATTAGCTCAAACTCAACCTGCAACGATGCCTTCAGATTCTGCTTTTCATATAAAATAAAATAAGAACATAAAAACATTTCAGCCACTTGTGCGTACTGAAAGCTTAACAACTGACATTTTAGGTTGATTGAGGACACAGTGAGCTCAGCGCTGACATATTTTAAAGGAGAAGCGTGCACTATAATCTAAAATGAGTGTTATCTTGTGACTATAAATAGCAGAACACCCAGCTAAAAACGGCCTACAAAGATCCATCGTTTATCCACTTTGTGACGTAAAGTAATAAAATAGTTTTTTTATGTACTTATCTAAAACAAACATAAAACAAACATTAAATTTTTGTTTTGAGTATTAATATCCATCACTCCACCATATTATTGCTATAGTTATGGGTATTTTTTTGCGTGCAGCTTTTGGGCGTTTAAAAACGTTTTTTCTTTCGACTTGAATTATTCACTGATGGAGAAAAAAAACATCAATGTGTTTTGTTTTGTATCCCTCAGGTAACGTGATCATTTCAATTGGTTGCTGTCTCTAATTTGACCACGGGATGTCATTGTTTTAACCCGAGATTTCACCCTACATTTGTGAAATGCTACATTTGTGAAATTTTTAAATGTTTCATAAGGGCATCATGGTTATTTGTCTCGGTTCACTCTTTCAGTTTTTGGGTCTCTGAGAGGAAAGACCACAGAATTTGCAGAGATTCACTTAGCAGGAATCACGTCGACATGCTTTCTTCTTCTTCATTTCAAATTCAGACTTTTCCATTCCAGCCGAAGCTCCTGCTGTGCTGAGCGGTGCTCATGAGAAAAATCCAATCCAGGTCAGCTACATTGTCTCAGACCTGCTTTCACTGAAATTGTGTTGGAGGGTACAGAAGCTGCTTTAATAATTAATGACGCTCTGATATTGCTGTTGGGCCAAAGTGAGGAAATAAATGACAACTGAAATTGTTGTGTAAAACATGTACTGTGTAAAAAAACTGTCCATCTCCGTTTAGAGATAGTCTTATTCCAGATTTGCAGTAATTGCTTTTGTTGTTGTTGTTAAGGAAAGAGATTAAAAGAAATAAACAGCCCTGCTTAGAGAGGTGGAAATGCAGAGATAGTGTATACGTAAAAAATCTGTGCCAAGGCCACATTGCTTCATCTCTCTCAAGAGGAAATCTCTGCGACCTTCTTTTCAGGAATTCATTACGCTTTGTTTTTTTTTTCCAAACGCCATGCGTCGGCCTGTACATTTGTCACCTCGCTCTCTCACCTTTGTGAACGTGAAGCTATTTCCACACACACTCTCCCATCCCAGCCACAGAAGGGATCTCTGGCGAATACGCAGTCATAACAGGAAGTGTACCTCTGACAGGCTGACATCGGCACCTGAACGAGGCCAGAGTGCGAGCCAACGTAGATGCTCCTCTGTGAAAAAAAATAATAAATTTAGCATAGCTTTATTGTATTTACATATTGTTTACTTAATATATACTAAAGGGCTTCCCATTTGACCAATATTGTAAATAATGACTTTTTTTCTTGGGACTAATTACTACTTTATGTGCTTGAGAAAACATTTTTGTGTGTCTGGAGTCACTACCAACTCAACAACTACAATAAAACACAATAATACACACAGTTTTATGTATTTGCTTGCTGGACACGACCCCTTCATGAATACCTGAGCTGAGGATATGACCATGCTCTCTATCGGCTGCGGCCTGTCGAAGACCTGCAGCTCCTCTATGATGTGCATGTCTCCATCTATGTTCACAGCTCTGTGCAGCCACCCGTCATCTGCAAGACAAGCGGCACCGCGGTCACGTTTCTTCCACACGAGGAGCACGACACACACTTCAGAGATGATACACGTTCGGTAATGCTGCGTCATCGATTTTTTTTACTGAAAGATCACCTGTTCCCAGGAACAGAAAGGTGTAAGTGTTTCCATCCAGGGCCGGCTCCTTGTGCGCCGCTATCTTTACGTAATTCACACTCCGCTTGAACATGAGCGGGCGCAGGCCCTTAGGGTGCACCTGGGTGGCCATCAGCGGGTGCCGTCTGGCGAACGTGAGGACGTTGTCCGGCAGGTCTCGAGACGAGTTGATGTTCTGGGACCTGTGGTGATCTGTTATGCACTTCAGAGACACAGACCGCGACAGTGTTTAGCTACACAGCGGGGGGAAAAAAGATTCATCCGATCCGTTGTAACGAAACTTACAGATCCGGGTCTGGGCTCTGGGACTTTTCCCGTGTACTCCCTCCACTTTGAATCTTGCACCTCCATGTACGGCCCCTCAAAAACCTTGTGCACATCCGAGAAGGCGTACTGGCAAATAGCGGACGCTTTAATATTCTTCCTGAAAGATAATCCAAACCCACAAAGACATGTCCAGAGGACACGCTGAGGATTAATGGTGCCAAGCTGAATACACTCGGAGATCTGAGGAGCTACGGCCACAGATCCAATTTCAGACACACCACAGATCATCGCTGCCAAGTGAAGAGGCAACAACATGACGAAGGAGGGATTCTTGTTCTCTGGAAATAGTAATGAAGGTAGTTTTGTTCGTTATTCTTACATCTTCTTCAATCTTATCAGTTTGTGTTGAAAAGAAAAGAAGCGAGGGGATGTCACTGACAGCTGTATAATTTCACCCCCCTTTATCTGTATTTCTCCGATCATCCACATCAAATGAAATTACAACACCAGATTCACAGAACCAAAACATCAGTGAGTCATGGAGGAAACGCCTCCTTTGTTGTGTGCCGGAGCACCTGTGAATCGGAGGAGTGGGAGTTGGCGGCCGCAAAACCAGGTGACCCTTAGTCTGACGCCCTAAAGGTGGGATTAGTAATGAGCGAAAAACGCCCGCCTCGCATTCTTAAGTCCATTCTCTGCCCACTTGTCTGCAAAAGCATTCAGGCGAGAAAGATGAGACTGAAGTGAAACCAGAGTCCCTGTCTTTTCTTGCACACTTGATTCTTCTGCGTTTTGAAGGCTTCTACTCGCACAGGTGTGAAAAGGAAAGAAAGCAAGCGAGAAAGTGAATGACAGTCCCCTGAACGACTGGGCAGACCGATTCGGTTGTGATACAAAAAAGAACAGAAAAAACTGGGAGGAAATAGACAGTGTTGAAATGCTATCCTATCCATCAGAATCTGAACACCCCTGGGACAGTTTTATGCAGCATGACTCTGCATATCAGCACAAACACACTCCTACATCACTGCCAAATTTTCCTCTGGCAAAAGTCTGCATTATTTGAGAGTTTCTGCCTGCTTCTTTTTAGAGGTAAAAAAAAAAAGCTTTTTTAAATATCGATCAATCACTTTTATGTTCACTCAGCTCATACAAAAATAAATAAATACAGCTTCTCAAAGGTCCAAGAAACCTTTTCTCTGTCGTTTGTTTTCCAATTTCTAGAATTATAGATTAAACATTTTAAAACAATTAAGAACATACATTTGTGTGTCAGGGGATGTCCACTATCCTTCTCTTTCTCCAACTTTTGAGCTTAAATCATGCATCATTCACTGTTTCTCAGATGGTGGGAGGTCAAACTGTCCTTCTGTTTTGCTTTTTAAGATCTCCACTAGCTGCCTTTACAGGTCACTCTTCCCTTGAACAGGATAAATGAGACCCAACTCGTTGATCAATGAGCATTAAAGGTGAATTCTAATGTTGGCCTTTAAAGATTTCTGCTTATTCCAGCTCTAAGCTGATAGCTGAAGATTTAGCTGTTTTCCAAGCAGATTTGAAAGATCTGCTCCGAATTAATTTGATCGCCAAGCTGTTGACGCTACGGGAAGAAAAACAATGCATGACAAGTGGATCAATACAAGGCACAAATGAGATAGGTAATGCATCATCCCTCACCATTCCAGACCGAACACTCCGTAGAAAATACTGCTCTGAGCGTCCCTCCCCTGCAGGACAAACACATCGCGCAGGATGTTGAGGTGGAGCTCATATTCTGGGACTGAGCACATCATTCTGGCTTTGAGGAAGGTGGTCCACTTCCTTTGCAGTGTCCTCTGGCCACCCCAGTCATTCTGCAGACAGAGGAAACAACAGATGAGCGAACAGACAGAATAATGACTGAACAAAGTTGTCATGAGTTGTCAGAATGAGACAACTTTACATTATGTGTGTAATGTGCACATGCTAATGCACATGAACAGACAGCCTGGAACGTAGAGGCTTACAGAAGTGTTGATATTCAGGCTCAGACCAACTGTAATACCTTTCCTCTAATTGCGTTTCGGCACCAGTAGGAGGTGAGGCAGCAAGAGGGACGTTTAATGCAGCTCATTTACAAAAGAAAAAATAAAGAGAGGGAGGCTTTCTGACTCTTTGTTTCCCTGACTCACTGTTCTTCCTCTTTCTTTGTTTGTCTTTGGGGGGAATCTCCGTTCATCTAAATACTCAGCTTTCTTTCACCTCCCACACAAAATGCCAAAGCTGCTTAAATTAACATGCTACACACAGATGTTAAACCCAAGAATATGTCCATTATTACCGGGAAAATAGGCATCTTAAATAGAGTATTTTCTGGGTTATTATTATGCACAGGGCCCGAGGGCTGCTTTGACAGATTACAATTTATGTCGGTCAAAACACGGGGAGAAAATAAGAATCCGAGCATAACAATGTAAAGAAACGCCATGGGGGGAAATCGGCCAAAGTCAGGTCAATGCAGACAGTTCTGCAGATTTTGGAGTCAATGCAAAGAAAACAGCACATGATGAAACCTCTCGAGCTTTTCTGGAGATCCACGCAGCAGCAAAAATGGCCAACGCCACGGAATATCAGAATTTTTTTGCTTTGGAGAAAACTAAAAACTAAAAACTCCTCCCTATCTCCCTATCTCAGTGAAAATAGGCCACAGTTGAGCAGGCAGCTCAAAAATGGCAAGTCCTCAGAGGCTTGGAACCAGAGCCTTCCCCTATCTGCAGATTCTGCCCGCAACCAGCGGCGAGCCGGGCTGCCACGGGGCTGAGCTGGGGACCAGTCCGACATCTGCATGTGCTGCCGTGGCCTAGATCACACTGACTTATTACACCCTCCACTGTTCAGACAACTCCACAGCGCTGATAAAGCGACAGGCAAGAGGGGAGTCCAGAGTCCATTTTTAGAAATGCCATCTCTACCGAATGTTCGTGCTTTAAAAACAGTCTAAAGGATCATGAATTGGTTACATTTAGGAAATGGTCGGCTTAAGAAATGAAAACGGGGGGGATTGTTTTCATTATTTTCCTTCCGATTGGTAAAAAACAAGGAGCCGGAGAGGCTTCCTCAGTGATTTGTTTCAGAGAAACGTGGTCCCCGTCTTCTGCGAAAAAGAGCACGATGCTACTTTGTTTGATGGACCCAAATGCTTAAATCATGCAGTACGACAACAGATGTGCGTTCTTCGAACACCAGAGTTTTCTGCATGTGCAATTTAGCTCATTAAGAACACAAAAAAATGTGAATATGAACTTCAAACTAACAGACTGTTGACTGTAGGCTTATGCTGCTGTGGGAAACACGGAATAGGATGACAAATAATATTCCTCGGGTAATTTGAATGGTTATTGTTGGGGAGTCGACTGACAGACAGGAGGGTCTGAACGCCAGTAAATATTTTAAATGAAAACTGATATGACTGGAGAAATATTGTTCAAAAGTCTTAATGAATAAAAATGCAATCATTTTAACAAAGCATACAAGAATAATTAGGAGTTTGTTTCATTTTTAGCTTTTGAGCTACACCATACATGCAGTATAAGCAGGACCCAGGCCTAAATGCTGTATGGCACAAACACTCATCTCTTTGACCCTGTGAGAATATATTTGATTTTGTTGCAGCATTGCACAGGTCTGAGCTGGAGCCCAAATATCAGCCTGCAGCCTCTAACTATCTCCAGAAGCCCCAGAAGTTGTAAGAGACAAGTTGGAAGGTGCAGCAGTCCTACTAATAATTTTATCTGAGCCTATAAACTTGTTCTGAGCTTGCATTTTTCTTTAAATATTGTCTTATCTCTAAATTTTGCAAGTGAAACTATCACAAAAATCATATTTGCCATTACTAAAATCCATCAAATACTTTAAAGGGATAGAAGATGATAGGTCATAATACCAGCCATATAATAAAGTTTGAGCCTTGCTTCACTTTGTGTTGGTATGGTTATCAATAATACTGTACCTATTTTGGTCCAAAAGCTGACAAAAATAAAAAAATGTACACTTTGGACAAACATTGTTGTCTCGGATTCTTGAGGGAGACTGGCTGTACTGTTATTATGTATAATTTTACAAAGAGAAAAACAATTGTGTTGCCTCACCAGCTGAGTCTTTTAGTCACTTTCAACTCTGCGAGACCCTGTGATAATGAAAAGAGGCTAAAAGAAATGGACCGGATGCAGAAAGAGTTAAAGAGAAACCTCTAGGAATGGATGCTGGGCATGCCGTCTCAACCAGGGAGGCTTGTTACTAGTGAAATGAGTTGAAAATGGAAAAAGATGACAAGAGGAGGAAGGTGATTTGGCGATAAAAGCAGGGAGAAGGTTGGCTATTGGGTGTAGAAGTTTGTGGACTTGTGCTTTGCCTGGCAACAGTGGCACAGAAAAGGCTGCAGTCAGGGAGGAAACTGCGATTAGAGACGCCCAGTAGCTTCTCCATTCAGCACAGAAATTACAGCAAGAGGAGAGTGGCAGCTCATTTCACCCTGCATCACTGACATAAAGCATGAAATAATCCCATCACTTTTGCATAACTGGTAGCTTTTTGCCTCTCTCATTTCAAACCCCATCTTTCACGACCGTCCCTGTGAAAGCGGTCACGTGGCCGACCGTGCTTTGATCTGGTCGCACAGTCTCTGACCTTGCAGACCCGGGCTATCCGTGACACCTTGGTCTGGCTCGGGTAGGCGATCTGCTCCTGGCTCCTCTCGGTGAAGAAGAAGTAAATCTTGTCGTCGTCGCCGATCGAGCTGTTGACGCTCTCCTTCAGCAGCACAGAGCCCACGAAGTCGGCCTCTGCACACAAACACGCAGAAAATCCACATGTCCACACGCGGACCTATTAGCAACCTACAAAGTGTCTCCTTGGAAACTGAACGCGGGGCTTTTAAGTGTGATTGAATCACCGCAACCAGACCAGGTAGAGCTGCAGTGCAGAGCATCTTTCAGGCTACTTCTATTCTCCAAATTAGAAAGAAGATTTACTTTGAGTAGAAAAAGATTGCATAAATCAGTACATCTCCAGCTATTTTGAGCTCCTCGCCATTACTTAGTCGATTTCTTTTTCTTTTATTCATGAATATTTACCCAGAAGCCATCGGGTGGGAGCCTCTTCTGTCCTCAGAGTGGGGAAGGGGAAGTTTCTGCGGACATCTGGGGAACTGCGAAACTCATACTGAGAGGCTGTGAACATCTCACCATCTAATTAACCAATCAAGGAAAAAAACATGTTGGAGGTGGATGGACTGAGACACAAACAAATTAAGACTTCATCATTTAATCACATGTAAATGAAAGCAGTGGGCATCCTGCAGAGGGAGGAGGCAAACAGTGGCATGCCAGTCACGCTGCGTTTAAGATACTGAATCCAAATCTGGTTTAATACCATACAGGTTCAGACATTATTGAGAGTGTTTTAACCTTTTTGACTCGCTGTTTATACCTTTCTGGCTTAAAACAGGCAAGCACCATGTCCCCCAAACCCCCCTGACTCTGAAAATACTGGAATCATTTGTGCCAATCTAAATTTTTCCTGTTTAGGTATCTGGTTTTTTGTATCTGCATCTTTATACTTAAATTGTTTACAAGGACAGAAACCTAAATAATCATAATTTTCATTAAAAAAACACATTTGTTTCATAAACAGAACACAAAGCAATAGGAGCCACTTGTGCACACTAAAAAGAGTCCATTCACAAAATCTGCTAAATCAAATGTTTGTCTTACAGCTAATTCCTCAGACCTTCCAAATTCTGTTTGCTTTGAGGGAAAACTGCAAGCCTTTTCTTTCCCTGCCTCTAAAGAATTAGAAGGATAAATTAAAAATATTCAGGAGGTGAAACCTTCAGCTATCATTTCAAGGTAATAAGGGTGATTTTTTTCTGTATTTTTTTGCAAACTGAAAATAGTTAGAGTGCCTTGAAAGTGGAGTATGTATGTGTCACTCCAGGCTTGAAGGGTAAACTGATGTTTTTGTAACTCCAGGACACATTGCTCTTAAAAAGGACCAATATACACTTAAAAAGCATAGTTCAAACAACAACTTAATTACATGAAAGAAGTTCTTGCAACTGAGACCAAAATGTACAAAAGAAATGTATACTTTAAATAACTAATAGCTAAAATTATATTCTTGATTTGTTGTGGGCATTTATAATTAATGAGATTTATGTACTTCATCATTTGTGCTTAGCTGCTTTTACCTTTAGGCAGTATATCACCAATGGTATCAAGGACAGTTCAAATAAAGAACACACACAAATCAATATGAAAAGGTTTATGGCAATTGGAATGAACTAGAAAACTGAATGAAAATACTGGTAATTCAGACAAATAAACATAACAGTTAGTTGTTATCACTGTTATGAAGTTTTTTTTATCCTGCAGAAATGTATCAAGGTAATGGTTCAAATTAGTTTTAAATGTGTTGGGTTTATATCTGGACACTGATTCAGAGGATGAATCTTCTCAGATACTAAGCATAATGATGTTAGCATTTCTTTAAAAACTACTGATTTGCCTAACAATAACCTCGTAGTGCCACCAGCACTATTGGATTTTGTAAAGCAAAGTGAAGGATTAAAGGAGTGGACATACCTATGAGGAGTCCTGTGTATCCCTTAGCTGGGTCGTATGGACACCTGTCTCTGCCCTCCTCGAAGCCAGAGGTGAAGCTGAACCTCTCTGCATCCTTGTAAGAAATAAGAAAAGACACCTTAGATGATTTCTTATCATTTTGAGTTGTAACTGTATGGATTAAGCCACATGACGTCTTACTAAATAAGCACAGAGAGGTCTGAAGGCATTTGTTCCACAGACGTAGAGGTGAGTTTCATTGAAACGCTGCAGGAAGCGGATGTGGTTGTGACACTCTGTCTGCAGAGAAAGGATAAAAAAACTGGTTATTTTAGGCTGAAAAACCAGAAATGGCTGGAGGGATCATAGGCCAATGCACACACAGAGCCATTTCATGCAAATAATTATCAGTGTGATTTCTCTCAAATATTTGGTCTGCGGTTTGGTGTCACTGGGCTTTGTGGAGAGAAAACAACGCAATTGAAAGGATTATTATCTCGGATGCTGTCATGTGCAATTTGTGCTCGACAAAGAATGGGGGTTCCATGTTGTTCTCTTATGTAATAACTTATATATCTGAGTGAATACAGCGTTTTCGAGAAAGAACAAATAAAGAGGAGGGGAAGGCTGCAGCCTTGTACCTGATTGTTTCTGCCTTTGTTTAGACACTGCTTCTTCTGCTCAGGGGAAGCATCCCAATCAATCTGCAAACAATGGGGGGTAATAGCATGACTCAGTTGGCTCGATAAATAAAGGCAGACAAATAGATAAATAGGCTCTATAAATACGCAGGGAAGGGATGGATTAATAGGGAAAAACAACCGAGTGCGTGTGATAAACAGGAAGAGAGGAGAGAGAAGGGCAGCGCACTTCATTTTCTGGCTGCGTCACTAAATTCTGACTCTCTTCAGTAACTCTTGAATAAACGCCTGGTGCATTTAATCCCATATCCATAAGCACTGCTGGAACACAATGCAATTTGCCCAATCTCCTTAAGACTATTATTAGTTTCTCCTCTGTTAACATTTCCCTTAAAACTCCAGGACTCAGCTGCTGTTTCAAATCTCAATAGGGGCAGTTTTGTGATCATCTTAAAGGCTGGCAGATGTGTTGAAACTCACGGTGAGGTTCGCAGGTGTGGAGATGTTGGACACGTTGAGAGCATATAAGGCCCCCCGGCCCCCCACATACAGCAGCCCGGCCTCCTCTTCCAGCAGCAGCGTGCTGTAGTTCTGCGAAGAGCCCCGAAAACGAATGGTGCCCATCATACCTGAGAATGAATTTCAACAATCAAACAGCAAGTTTCCAGCTTCTGGAGTTCAAAACTACAGATTGTCAATGCTACTGAGGGCTTGCGTGTTATTCTAGGTTTGGCACACAGGACTTCAACTACAAACTTCATTAAAAAAAAAGCTTTGATAGTAACTGTTGGTGCTGAACAGCCTGTTTTAAGCTTCTCTGGATCTTTTTGGCAAATTCAGATACAAAGCTTCCCAACAGGAGTAAACAACTCTACCAGTTCAGTGATTGGTTTGGACAAACATCTAAAGACATTAGACCACTAAAATGGCTTCTATCACCAAACCTTAATCCAACCATGGACACCTGAGGTGAGGTTTATTGGTAAAATTCCTCATAGAAGACCAGATAACATATCTGCCGTTGTTTTAAGAGGCCATCATGGAAAAAACGACTTCTCAGGGCAAAAACAAGTAAGGGGGCAGAATCATGAATGAATGTTACACAACTCACAACACACAACTCACAAGAATAAAAAAGACGTCCGCCCTGCAGTTTAAAATTCTCTTCTTTAAGATTGTGCTTATGTGTGCCTCCTGTCTGTTTCATAGACACTGAGAAGTCCGGATGTCTTCACACCACATGAAAATGTTAAATGTGTGTGACTGAAGCTGGACAACATATCTGGGAGATGATGGTGGCGGGGGGGGGGGGGGGGGGGTGTCGCTAAAGTGAAGGCGGAGAGAACTAATGAAGAGACACAATAAGGGGACGGGGGCACATGTCAAGCACAATTTTTAGGGCATTCAGCAGGAATTGTGCCCCAGTACTGCCAAATCACATCAGTGGTGCTGGCTGTGCTCCGGATGTGTGTGAATGGGGGGGACGGGTGAGATTTTTGCAAGAAGTGGGGCAAACAAGGGGTTACTGCACTGCCACAGAGAGCGATGTTGGAGCTATTTATTCTTTTTCTTTATGCATTTGAATTTTTGTTAGTTAATTCTTAAATGTATATTTTTTGTATTAATTTACAGTATTTATTTTGCAGGTTAATAATTGTTGATTCTATTTAATTTCTTGTCTTATTATTTTTCTTATTCATTATTTGAGTTAAGCAGGAAATGGGTCATGTGGGTCAGTCCACTTGCCTATAAATATAGGGGCCTGGTAAAGGACCAGCAGGCATATGGGTTGGGGCCTATGGTTTTACCAGGACAGGAGAAGAGATCAGGACAAGTCCACAGGACAAGAGATCAGGATAAGAAATCAGAACAAGAGACAGAGCAAGCAAGAGCCAGAGAACAGAAAGTTTGAACTTTGTAATTGTTGCAAAAAAGGGAACCAATAAACCTTCAACAAGAATCAAGAAGTTTGGATATGAACTCTTTTCTTTCCTGCGTATAGAAACTGGACCCCATTGCCTCTTAGTGGCTTGAGGAACTTTTCGTTTGATGTTTGTTTCGACAAACAATCGCCACTATAAGCGAGTTTTGCCACCATGTGGATGTTGCTTCGGTTGGCTTCCTTTAAGTGGTGTAGATAAACAGATTATTCATTCCATTGCTAAATAATTGGCCCGGTGCACTAAACTAAATTTTGAACATTCCCCTAGTGGAGCTCTCCAGAAACGGGGGCATGTTGCACTGCTGCTGTGAGACAGAGAAAAAGGAGGGCATTGTTTTTTTGTTTTTTTTCCTTCTGGGTACAGAAAATCTCCCTCTGTGTGGACGTCGGTTTACTGAGCTTTGATTTGCGCTCAGAGTGGGTGATTAATGTCTGACTAACAAAATCTGACATTCAGGAGAATGAAACCCCACATGCAGAAAGAACAGCTGTCATCAGAGAACAAGAGGTAAGTGAAGGTATCAGTGGTGTCACTCTGAGGAACATGAGTCAGCACGGGGCAGATGGGCATATTAAGCTACAAAACACTTCTCTGCCTCTTTCCTTTTTGGTATCACTTTTAAACCGATTGTATCGTGTCTCAGCTTTGACGAATAAGACAACCTATGTGAGACAATTGATTCTTTCAGGTGTGAGGCCTGCACACTGCACAGTTCATCTATTGTCCAAGTTATTCTATTTCTGATGGAGCCACGAAGGTCTGGCTCAGCCAAGAGGTTCACAGAACAGCCGTGTAACATCTTGAAATTGTTAATTACTACAAAGTAAGCAAGGTTTGTTTCATATACCCAAGTTGATCAACTTCAGATACTGGATTGCATCTGTAAGTGGGAGGCAAGAAGGGCAACTTCAGACACAAAGGGGAATCCGGAAGCCAATGCAACCTCACAAAACCTTTTATTTTCATACTATGAATAATTTAAAAAAAGATGGTGTCATGGTGAATTCAGGGCAGGACCCAAAATGCTAAAATTCACAAGGGAGCCAGATTGGTAGAGAAAAAAAAGACAGAGCATACATAAAAACATGAAGAAATAAAAAACAAAGGTGGATTTAGAAGGAAGCTCTGGCCAGCAAAGCCAGGCTTTAAAGATCAGACCCTTTTAAAAAAAAAACTCAAACTTTGTTTATGCCTTTTCCGCAAATAAATAGAATAAATAAACACAGTAAATCAGCTGGTTAGAGGCGCGTTTCAGAAACAGTTTCATCCTCTTGGCTTCCTTTGGTGTCAGCTAAGGGGAGCAGAAAAACAAATTCAACCCCCATTTCCTCCTCTTTTCTTACATAATGGAGACCAACAAAGCAGGACGATACAAGTTCAAAGATGTTTATTGTGATCTTCCTTTGTTAGTTCAGAATTTTCTCTTCTGGCTCTGTCAGCACTCATTAAAAAGGTGCAATTAACATGTCTTTTGACACTTACGTATAAAATATGCAGATTGCATAACACTTCATTCATAAGGACGGCAGACTGCCTGAATGGAGAGGTGACATGAGCTGAAGAAGGTGTTGTCCAACCCCAAACCATTTTTAAGGCTACGAGAGGTTTTCCTCAGCAAAACTACTTTTAAATACAATTTCTTAAAGGAGCACTGACATTTCTTAAAGGGATTAATAACTTAGGGATGGGAATTTTGACGGAGAGGAGAAGAATTACAGTTTTCATTATGGCAGCACATTTTGCCAAGTTTAGAAACTAGAGGTTTCTTTAGCTACAACACTATCCAATAGTAATCTTAAAAAAAAACACATATCACTGAATATTCTGAGATAAGACTACTAATTTCCATTTAAAATCAGTGACTATCAAAGCTGTCTACAGTAATGATGAGTTTAAAAAAAACTGAACATGGCAGATATAGGTTACCTTGACCCACCTCTACTTTCTCAAATGTGATCTGACTCATGTTTTTCCAGCCTTAATTAACAATAGCAGTGATGATAATGGGGGTGACAGCAACTCTCACAGCATGTTTGATCTTGCATGATACGAAAGGACGAAAAACTCTCCAAATTTCCACCGCATCACATGGACGGAGCTTTCGTCTCCACATGACCGTCAGCTTGTCCGGCTATCACATGGCCACTGTGGGTGACGACCGTTGCTCCAGACCACACCTCAGAAGCCCACAGATTGAGTCACGCTGCAGTCCTTCTTTCGACACTCTGCATGCTGACAGACTTTTCTTACTAATCAGACAACCACAGGGCACCTCTCATGGGTCAATAACTGAGTTCTTATCACGCTGGGTTCTGTCAGTCCTGCATAACGGAGGGAAGAATGATATTGCACATTTAGATCTGTCTTTTTAGGACTCACTAATTAACTTGACGGATACAGTAAGATCAAAACTGATATGCGAGTTGTGAAAGTAAGCTTTAAAAACCCGGAATTATGCAAAAAAAAATATTGTGATTGCGTGATTCAAATATATATATATATATGCTGTCAAAATAAGTGTTTTTTTTTGTGTTTTAGCAGGGAAGTTCATCTAAAGGGAGCACAGATAACTGATAAATGACATCTTGGAGAGGGTAGTGAGTATTTTCTATCATTTCTTGGAGAAGTGGCCTAAAATCTAAAGGAGCAGTCTGGTAAAGACGCTGCTCTAAGACAGTCAAAAGGTCAGGACATGCCAACAGGGGATTCATCTGAGGTGGGGGTGGGGTTGGCTCTTGTGAAAGGGGGCTGAGTACTCAACAAACAATAGAATATCCACTTAATAGGTAAGTACACAATAGAGCACTAAACTATGCATAGGTTATACATATGTAAGAAAAAGCATGCATACACATGTAGGAATGCATCAACGAAACAACTGCATTTTATCTGAGATCAGGTTCAAAGTGAGTTTTGTCACCCAAGGCACAGTGACGAGCCCACAACTCATGCGTCATACGCGAGCGAGCGAAAGCCTTGGTTTCTATCTTATAAAAATAGTGGCTGCATGATATAACAAAAACACTGATGAGAGGGACTGCAGTGGTCACAAAGTGACCCTGGCTTCGGGGCAGCTGAGGCAGTGACCTTGATGTCAGATCCGGCGTGATTGCTCTTATTTTAAAGCCCCTCGATCTGTAATGGAATGACATCTAGACGGACGAAAGAAAACTGATATCATGTTCGGTCCTGAATCACCGAAACATTCAAAACAGCGAAAATGTGTGGGTTAAGCAGAATAGGCTTGTCTGTTCTTGACCTCAAAACACAACACTTTAATGGAAAACTCAAGTACCAGTAAGGTAAAAGAAAAGCTTTTTTTGTCAAGAAATTCCAACCCTATTTGTATGCCTTGCTACAAAGAAAGTTATTGTGAATAATGTGGATTAGAAGACAGATGTCAAAACTTCATAGGTATAAATATCAACAACAGAACCACAGAGATGCTGAGCGACTGTTCCCCGGGGCAAATATTTAGTCTCCATAGCCCATACTCACACACACACACACACACACGTCCAAAAAACACGCTGTACCTTGCGCTTTGCTACAGAATCGATGAGGAAAGTCAACAGAGTGCTGAGGTGTGCCAGAAGCCTCTTTGCCAGCCGGCTGGTTTCTATTTACTGTTGTCATCCAGTGTGCGCTTGTGCTTCTATTAGCACAGGCTGGTTTGTGTGATTGTGCG